CACTCTCAAGAGATAAATGACATACCATTAAGCCAAACTTGGGTGGTCATGAAAGGGTCTCTCTTGGATCATATCGTGATAGTTTACATTGTAGCTTAAAATAAATAGAATGGTTAAATCAATGTCATGGTCATTTTTGCATTTGTACATAAATTTCTATAAATTAAACCAACTTATGTGGGTAGTTTTTAGACTTGTTACATCAAGGGCCTAGATCGCCTTAATTATTTTGTTTTTCTTATTAAATAAACTACTGTATCTCATCAAGTTTAGAGGCCCTCACCCGTTCTCTATTTTCTTCCTTAAGGCTCTGTTTGTTTGAACGTAAAATATTTTTCAAAAAAATTTTTTTTTTTTTTTGGTGTTTGATTGTCATAAAATATTTATGAAAAAAAAATATATTAAAATTTAACAAAAATAATTTATCCATAAATTTTCGACAAGTTATTTTATATATCCCGTCTGATGGACTCGACCTAAACCTCGACGTAAACATTTGCCAAATATCAACAAAGTAAAAATAAAAAATATATTTTACCTGAAAAAGAAAAATATTTTTTAAAAATAATATTTTACGTCGAAACAAACGAGTCTAAGTTCCTAAATCAAATATTCTTTGAGAGAGAAAGACTCATCTTGGGTATGGTGAGGTCTGTGAGGAAGAGCGTGAGCCCAATAACTAACTTGGCCCCGTACAAATATAGTACCACAAATGAGGCTGAGCCCGAGCCCGAGCCCGCATCTTGTGTAGCATATTTCATCCATTTAATTTAATGCGTTGAAAAACAAAGTACATGTGTTAAAAGGCAAAAGTAAATGTGTTGAAAATAGAATTAAACGTGTTGACAAATTACAGTACCATTACAAACAAGAAATGTTACAATTGAGGATTAGATCGCTTGCTTAAGAGCTAATACAGTCTAACCCTGTAATAATTTAAGATAATCTTCAATTACAAAATAGTAGTGGTCAAAGATAAATTTTACGCGATCATTGTTTAATGAATAAAAGTTGCAACATCAATGAATTTATCAATGAATTGTTTAACTATTATTTTTATTAAATTCAACAGGATTGACTCATGTGCTTAAATCCTAATCAGATTTTATATACCCATATAATTTGCCCCTACAAAATTTTAAAATACATTTGAATAGTGCACGATACTCTTACCATTGTGGATATACCTTATTTCTGTTTACACAAAAATTATGACATCTAAATCACAATGAAGCAATCTTATTATTGAGCCAAAATCCACTATAAACTTAAACAAATTGTTATTATGAATCTACATATATGTGTGTGCGCGCGGGCGCAAATAATGCAATGAAGAAGACATGAAATATGTTGGTAAAATAATATGGCGACATGTGAGGATTGAAACATATCCACATGCAGAACATGATTCAAGTAAGAAGTACATACCAATCATCCTTTTTTCCGTGATTATACGTGCAATGCACGAACCCTTCATGGATGTGGACCACCCATGAACATGATCATCAACTCATTTTTATGTATTTGTATAACCACATTGATCTCCTTCATGTATGCATATAAGTTTTATATATGTGTGTGTGTGTGTGTGTGTGTGTGGATTGGTCTATATGGACATGGCCTTTTTGAAGAATGCAATTGGGGTCAATGGCCTTGCACATGTGACATGTTCACTCACAATTCTGTAAATTCCTTACCATAATGTGACAACAAACATGATTCTTTTTTGTACTTCCTCATACATATTAACATCAATAGTACCTTGAAATGTTTGAATTATAACTATACTAGACAACATGTACATATATATATATATATATATATATAAATTTTTATAATTTGTAATACTATGATAACCAAAAGTTTGTGATATGATGGTTATCTCTCATGTCTCCTAAAATAAAAAGTGAGAGTTCAAGTTTCCACAAGTTAGTGTGTAAGTTTATGAATTCGATTTATCTCTAATGTTGTAAATTGTTCAAGTGCATTGGGAGAGATGAGGATCATCCTACTAGGACTAAAATTCACTCTATGTGTAAAGTCTACGACTCTTTAGAGTGATATACGGTACCAAATTCACATGTAGAAGTGGAATCCGGTGCATGACAATGTAGGTATTGTACCGCATCGCACATATACATAATTATATATATACATACACAATGATGTTCGTGAACCGTTGAATGCACAACAACATTTGTGGGCGAGGATGACATAATGATCATCAACTCTTTTTTATATATTCGTATAAGCACATTGATCTTCTTCATCTATGCATATAGTTCTGTGACCACTTGAAATATGAAATTGATCACTATATATGGATTGGTCTATATAGACATGGCCTTTTTAAAGAATGCAATTGGTTGGCTCAACCGATCTTATTAAATAACCCACCTCAATAAGTGATTTTGGCATATTGCATGCAATGTGGTCAATGGCCTTGCACATGTGACATGTTCAAACACAATTATGTAAATTCCTTACTATAATATGACAAGAAGTATGATTCTTTTTTGTACTGCCTCATACATATTAACATCATTAGTACCTTGAAATGTTTGAATTATAACTATACTAGACAACATGTACATATGAATATATATATATATATATGTATATATATATATATATATTTATAATTTGTAAACCATACGAAGTTAACCAAAGGTTTGTGACATAATGGTTACTTCTCATGTCTTTTAAAATAAAAAGTGAGAGTTTAAGTTTCCACAAACTAGTGTGTAAATTTATAAATTCCGATTATCTCCAATGGTGTGGATTGTTCGAATGCATTGGGAGAGATGAGAACAGTCCTACAAGGACTAAAATTCACTCTCGTGTAAAGTCTTATGACTCCTAGAGTGATATACGGTACCAAAGTGACACAAAGATCATATAAAATTGGTATCCGGTGCAATATATATATATATGATGATGATGATGATGTCCGTGAACCGTTCGATTCACTACAACATTTGTGGCCGAGGATCCGGACTAGTTAAACATTCCCACACCTGTCGGTGGAAGTAGAACTCACAATGAGGCAAGGGAGTGTTGGGGTAGCACGAGTGAGTGTGTGTGTGTGTGAGAGAGAGAGAGGAGGATGGGCTACAGCGCACGGGGCGCACTTTTGTCAAAGGGGCGCACTTTTGGGACATGTGATTTCGCTCAGAGGCGAAAGGCATAGCACATGGCATTGATTAGATCTGGCTACGACTGCTTTCTTTTCTGAAGGCAAAGCTTTCCTTTTTTTGATTAATTTAATTTTTCTTTTCCATATTAGAATAATTCTCACTTGCTTTTTTTCCTGACTTTTTATCTTCAAATGGGCCCTCACTGTACGATCTACTTAACCAACCATTTTAAATGTCAGGGAAAAAAAAAAAAAACCCTTTTAAATGCCTCTCGTTACAAAGTTATTTACTTCTGGATTTCTTATTAATGTGTTAAATACAATTAAATACTACAGAAGTTCAAATTGTGAAGGGAAACATTAATGAAATGACATTAATTCCCGTTAAAAAATAGTGTTCACTTCACACATTATGTTCACTATAAACATTAATGAAATGACTTGCCATTTATTTATTAGTATTTTTTTTTTCCTAATTGCTTGCGATTTTGTTCAAAAGAGTTGTCCGCATATAATTGTCTGAAACTTCTATCTCCATGTGCGTTTTAAATTCGTGAGTGTGGGGAGTGTACAAAACAAACACTATTTACACGGTCAGAACGGGTTCACAATAAATGATATCAGAGCCTAATTGAAAATGGGGGGCGTGCTTAAGGCAATGCAAGTCCGCCAATAAGGAGGCTATTTTTTTTTTTTTTTTTTCTTCCCTAGTTGCTTGCGATTTTGTTCAAAAGAGGTGTCTGCATATAATTGTCGGAAACTTCTATCTCCATGTGCGTTTTAAATTCGTGAGTATGGAGAGTGTACAAAACGAACACTATCTACACGAGTCAGGATGGGTTCACAATAAATAATATCAGAGCCTAGCTGAAAATGGGGGGTGTGCTTAAGGCAATGCAAGTCTGCCAATAAGGAGGCTAAGTCTCAGGAGGAGATGATTGTGACATTCCACATTATCCGGTGAAAAAATTCATGACATTTATACGTGTGAACACTCCTTAATCATATAAACACATTTTGAACAAATAGTGACCATCGAGAAAAGAGAGTGCAGACAAAATAATATCTATACAAGTTGAGACGAGGCATGACATAGGTTGAGTTCACTATCATTCTCGCTACTCTCTTTTTTTTTTAAAGAATTCGGGAATTGGGTGTTCTACCAATTATGCCACTAAACAATACCATATTAGTCATGTGTTAACTAGATATCTTGTCTCTCATAATCTTGCTAACGAGAATTTGATTATTCTTCTCTCAAATATAAGTGTAGAGGTTCATTATGACTGTGCCACATGCTCAAATTAATGAATATTTGCTCTTTTCGTAAAAATAAAAAGGAAAAAATATATATAAATTTGCAAAATAAAAAAAATACTCAGAGAAAAACTTTTTTACACCCGTTGCATTGTGTAACGGCCGCATCCGAACCATCCGTATAATATCCATGTTCGGACGTATATGTATTAATGGGCAAGAAATTTTTTCTCCAAAATATGATTAGGAACAATCAATTAGTGATTAATTACCAAACATAGATAGGTAGGTTTTCAATTGTTTGAACAAATTATGAAAAGGAAATTCTAAAAAAAGACAGACCATGTGGGAAACTGGGAATGTGGATCAACCAGATCTGTGAACACTTCATTCTTTATGGTTTATGCGGACTTGGGATATCTATGCACTCTAATTAATATACCTCAGAAGTTAGTTGAAGGACATAAATGCCCCTGCCTGTGAAGAACTTTGTCAATTAAAGACCATAGGGTCTACATCAATAACTATACATTAGATTAGCACCCTTCATACCCCCAACCCCATTCACATTGGGAGATCTGTCTATTTATAGCCCCACACCACCACAGCAAACTTTGTACCAAACCCCCCTCTCAACTCTCCATCTTTTGTGCACTGCCTTTCCTCATCTCTTTGTGGGGTTTGGGGGTTTGCTCATAGCAATGGCCATGCCTAAGTTTGCTGCTTTCATGCTCTTGGCACTCCTTGCCATTTCCATGCTTCAAACCATGGTAACACCTCTCAATCAAATATAAGAAAATGCATACACTTACACACACACACACACACACACACACACACATGCATATATGATGTACCACCATGTAATGACACACATTTTCTTGATCTCGTCTTGCAGGTTTTGGCATCAGGGCATCACAACAATGTATGTTTTATTCCATTTCCCCTTCTTTTTTTAAATGGAAATTAATGTGTAGGATTTGATTTTTTGAACAAAATGCTTACATTTTTGTGTCGTTTTGTTTTTGTTGTTATGAATATTACAGAAAGGTTATGGTCCTGGAAGTCTCAAGAGCTACCGTGAGTACTCAAATCCTACTCTCATTTTTATTTCTTCCCCTTCATTTTGCATCCCATTTTTAATAAATAGTGTATGCTTAATTTTTACTACCATTTAACATTTGTCTGCCCAAAATTACTGATATTTAATATTATATAAAATATATATAATAATAAAAAATTCCATTTCTTGGGTTTTAATTTTTTTTTCTTTCCCTTCATTTTGCATCCCATTTTTTAATAAATAGTATATGCTTAATTTTTACTACCATTTAACATTTTTCTACCCAAAATTACTGATATTATATAAAATATAAAATATATATATAATGATAAAAAATTCCATTTCTTGGGTTTTACTACTATTTTTACTTTGGTACCATACTCAACTAACTGCTTATTTTAGTATGCATACCACGTTTACTATCATAGAATGTGCCCTGGTGCGCAGGATACGGGTCTGGTTTTCTAATGCCCTTTTTACCCTGGTGAAGATAATTAATTACTATTACTACCTTTAGCTAGTCAAAGAGATTTGGACTGTAGTCAAAAGTGTAACTGAAAAAGAGCACTTCTCTGCACATATGTTGACAAATGGTCAAAAGTGTCAAAAGGTAATTGATGATGATGTTTGTTTTTTGTTTGGGTGTGAAATGACCAGAGTGCCCATCACAATGCACAAGGAGGTGTAGCAAGACACAGTACCACAAGCCATGCATGTTCTTCTGTCAGAAGTGCTGTAGCAAGTGCCTTTGTGTGCCCCCTGGCTTTTATGGAAACAAGGCAGTGTGCCCTTGCTATAACAACTGGAAGACCAAGGAGGGAGGTCCCAAGTGCCCTTAAGAAGACCCTACTAAGACTACTATTATAGTCCCATATATATATATATAGCATCATATTACTATTGCTACTACTGCTAAGTACTAACTATATATATATATATATATGTGTGTGTGTCTATTTTGTCTTTGTGGTTTCTCTTTGTTGGGGGGTTTGTTTTGTTCAATCTGAATCATCTGATCATTTGAAATGGTTCAAGTTGTATGTATCACTTAACTCACCCCACTGGATTTTACCTGATGAGGGTGGTCATATTATTTACTTGATCTTATATTTTAAATGTCTTATTTACCTAATATAATATCAATTGGTCATATTATTATGGATCTTATGTCTTACATGCATCAAGTCTCTGCTATACTTTTGGTATTTTATTTATAATTATGGTAATTAATGAGATTTACATAAAGTTACGTTTGGGAGCATAAAATTACTGTTTTGAAATTGAAATTACAAAAGTATAGGTTCAAATTTTAAAGAGCAATACGAGTCACAATGAGTTCGAACCTCGTTCTCGTTCTCCACAATGATATAATGGCACATCAACGAGTATGCAAGCATTGTCCAATTTTAAATTAATTTTTTTGCTACTCTAATTCCAAGGTGTTCATTTCATGCTTCCAAATGGGATCCAAGTGAAATTATGATATAAATCACAAAGGGCCTTAATGGTAATTAGAAATCAACCCTCCCATTTTTTAGCACAATATTAGGCCAAACCCATGTAAAGTTGAAACGAAAAAACAGAGCCCATAAACTATCCTCGCTGATTAAGCATAAAATTTGGGCTCTGTTGCTCAACAAATATCAGAATTGATGGCACAATAATCATTTCAAAATGGCCATTAGAGCCCAACATTCCAAAGCATCTACACACTTGTCCTAGGAGGACCAAACACAGTAGTTTCTTGTACAGACTCATACCGCTATGATATTGTTTGAGAGCAAACGACTAGGCACTTGGAATTGAAGAAAAATGAGTTAGAAGTTGCTCGCAAAGGCCCAACTCAACTCATTCATGGAAGGCAGAAGGCTTGTGCATAGACAGAAGAAATACCAGTTTCTCCATAGTTACAAAATCAAGCAAGCCCACAATTTCTCCATGCAACACAGAGGTTTCCGGAGGCAAGTTGAAGCCAACGAAACGCGCTTCCTATAAATTACATATATTACATGACGGGGGTAAAGGGAAAGAACATGAAAGCTACTTGGCATCTGTAAGAAGCTTAAACATTCTTGAACTTCTACCAAACGATTTGGAAAAGTAAAATAAGACCTACAAGTTACAACACATGGAAGAACATGCCAACATACATGTGTATAAATGGCCATTAATTTTCTATCATTGCTAGTCTATTACTGACTAGAGTGATTAATTTGGATATTCTTTTGCATTTGTGCATGTATTTTCCTCTTTAGCTCGAGATTGTCACCTGCAACTCATGAGGAGGTTCTCAGACTCTGATGCTCGTTTCAACTGTTGCCCTGAAAGTAAAACTAGTCGTTGCTAATCCACCTGCTTCCTGATTCGAAAACCATACGAACAGCTATTAAAGCCCACTGCAAAAATTTATGTTATGGTACCATAAAAGAGTTAACCATGCAAAACGAATCACTAACATGTCCCTGATGTCGGCGAAGTAAGAGGGTAGCAACCCATGTCATGAGATAGACCGGCATAAGGAAAGCCAAGGTGCGGAGTAAGAAAACCTGCCATAGTTATTACTCAACTAATTTATAACAAAAATATAAATTTGAATCATGAAACAACGAAAAGCTTGGGTTGGTTAATAAGAAAGGGTGGGTGGAATCGGGAAGGTATTAGGTTCGTGTGTTGACTAACAAAGTAAAAGAAAAAATAAACTTGTGTGTTGAAAAATGGATTGCAGTCCCACTTACCGATAGCAGGTTGTAAATGTCGGCGTCCTCCTCGTCCACAATGGACAATGCATGTTTCATAAGCGTAATAGCCATTAACTGCAAGAATTAAAGATGGGACTTCTGTTGGCGAGTGGCTGACAGCTGACTTATTGATCATACGAAGATTTAAGAGGAATAAAGATTTACTAGACTATGCACTTCCGATATAAATCATTAATAAATTGCCTAGAATAGGATTTTGAATTTATAAAAAGCAGGCTTCTTCAGTCATCTGCAGAGAAGATAAATATGCACTACAGTAACCCAACCATTCAAACTTGGAAGGACATAGTAGCAAGCAGCAAATAGCTAAAAGTGTAAGTTCATATATTTATTACTAGCTTGAATTTTGGATATAAGGCCTTACTATTAGAACTGTAGATCGGACAATTGCAGTTCTCATGCTAGTTGCAGTGGTACACTCACCATACTCCCCGTCCAGGAGGAGTTCTGCTGCTGCTGCCGCAAGCGTAGGGGAATGCACATCCTCAGTAGTACCTGTATAAGTCAGGCTTTCACTGCAAGACAATTCGAAATGCTTAAGAATCACGAGATAAAGTAAAGGCAGATAAATCTCCTTCTGCCAAATCAATTAAACATATTTCTAATGCACACCAAGAAAGATAGAAGAAGAAGACTATTTCAATTACCACAGCTGCATTTTAGTAAACACCGAATAGAACCAAAAACAAGTCTTCAATTGTTCATTCAAAAGCTAACCCTCTCTCTCTCGTCAGTTAAATAATAGCAAATGCGATTTAAATTTCTGTAGGAAATCTAGACAATTGCTTAAAAGCATAATATCAAGGATAGCAATGCAAGTAGAGGGAGTAACCTGATATCAACTGTTGTATCTTCAGATCTAGGAATATGAAGTGGAGATGGGGCAGTATAACCAGCTTGGTAAGGCTGTATAGAAGCATAACGAGACATAAAATGAAAGAACAGAATTAAATTTCCAAGTTACAGAAATAAATTCATACAAACAAATAGGTTTGAATCGACGGCAAAAAATGGGAAGATCAAGTTCCACATATGGAATTTGGGCAAAAATAGAAACTGACAAAAAAGTTATTTCTTTCCTCCTCTTTCTGAATATTGAATTTGTTTCCATGGATTGCAGTTATAGCATGCAAGAAGCAGAACAGTGAATAGATGTGAAGTTTGTGGCTAAATGAGTGAGAAGTAATTACAGTTTGCTGGAAGGGAGAATAAAATTTCAATAAAACCCTTTTCATGGGATTTCATCTACAATCGCAACGTCTGTGGCTAATAAGTGATACAGCTCATCACTTTTAGCTATTGCGTAAACAGTCATTGAAGAGTAATGTTCGTAAACCTAGCATGATTTTGAACGAGGTAACACGAAAATCATGAAAAACTATGGTAAAAGTCACAATTCAAATGACATATTAAACAAATAGCTTCTAAAACATATAGACTGTCTTTTTAGCATTTAATACTTGAATCAGAGAGAGAGGAGGGATACAAGAAATTTTACTATCAGAAACTTAACAAAGATAAGTGATGTCATTCAAATTTATCAATAAATGTGACTCTATATAAGCCTCAATCTGGCACAAGCTCTAGGGCGACGCCAATTGATAAATAGTTCCAGCAGAAATATGACTTCTTCTTTTTACCTCAATCCGGAAAATGTCAATAAGAAGTGTGTGCGCATGTGTGTGTGAAACCAATATTAGAATCAGGTGGACGATAACAAATATTTAAAGCCCATTCCCCGAATATGCATTCTTCCAGAAGTAACAGGATTTAAAAAGTAATGCAGGCATTTCTCTTTTCAGAAGGTACTCTGGTTATTTGAGAAGCAGTTGTGTACCTGATTGCAGATTTCGCAAGTGGTATTTTTTTTCTCGTTGCACCATTGCTGAACACATTTCCTGTGTGTGAACTGGATAATACATGATTGTCATGAATCAACAATTATAAATTTAAAGAACCGGGCAGCTTTCTATCATGAAATGTCTTTTAGTGACTACACTGGTATGTCTCGGTATAAGTAGGAGAATGAATGTAATATGCATTCATCGTCACAGCAAACAAATTGATGGAATTAATCCATCTCCAGCTTAAAGAGTAAAGACAAACCAGACTAATCATATCAAGAATCAATTGATACAAGGGCAGATTTGGCAACAAATACCAACAAATAACAGGAAAAAAAGAAAAGAAAAAGAAAACAACGTTCTCTCATAAAACAAACAACTTCATAAGGAAAGAAGAAAACCAGAATGCATTTGTGCAGTCATTGCATTGTCGTCAAGCTAGATGATTAATCATTTTAACAAACAAAAATTGCTTTATCAATTTCTCAGAACTGGACAAAAACTTGATGAAAGAGCTTAGTTTTTAAAAAATTAAACAGTGACCACCGGAAAGTCTCGTCACATAACAGACCAATTTGTTCATAAGTTCAGGTATAGAAAATATTGAAGAGGGTTCCATTAAAAATTAGCTATCTAGCTATACGACTTTGAACAACAACATAAACCAGATTAACATTCAATCTTTTCACTTTCTCCACAAAATATATCTAGTGATTCCGCAAATACAAATTAACTCAACAAAGCTTTTCAACTACTTGTGATTACTACATCAATCCTTATTTTACATTCCGTTCTTTCTAAGGCCATAGCCTCAATCAAACCACACATTATCACATATTTCCTTACTAACTTTAACAATGCAATTTTGTTCTTCCCCTATTCCTCACATTACCCTCGACATGGACCATGTTACTCTTCCTAACCGATGCATAGTCTTCTTATGTGGAATTGTTTAACTAGTCATTGATATCAATTCATCATTTCCGTGGATCTATTAACAATTCGGATATATCAACACTCATCTTTGAATTTGAATAAGGATTACAATTAAATACAGAACAATGTGTTTGTGTGTATACCTTCAAGCTGCCACTACAAGCACACGGCGCCTCCATTTTCCGGACAAGGTCCTCCTCCTGGCAAATCCGGCATTCCGTTCTTTCACCTGCCTCTTCTTTGTCCGAAAACGAAAACTCATCCACACCCCATTCATTAGTGTCCACATTGGACCGCAGCCCAATTTGAGTTGAAGTGCCTTCCTCAAAAGGCCCTGCAAACTTATCAGACTCGGCCCTTCGCATTGATTCTAAGGTCGCCGACGTTATGAGCCGGTCCGCACACAACACCAAGTGATCACTCATTGTTCAAGTATACATAAACTCCTGATTCAAAATAAATAACCATTAGCTACTAAAAATCAATGCTTTTGAACATTTAAGTTAAAATTTGAAATATAGATATTGTTGTAATCTGAATTATTTGAATGTGACATAACCTACATAATTGGGATAAGTACTAACATCCTTACACGAGCATCATAATGTCAACATGTAAAATACAATTAAATTCTCTGAATCGGAATGCAAGCAAACTCTACACACATTATACAAGTTCTGTTCGGCTACTGAGAAATGGTGAGAAAAGAAAAGAAAATTTTGGGAATCTTAATATTACGAAAGGAAAACGACAAATCCCATGCAAAATGACCTTTATGGAACGACTTTTGTTTTGTTGAGTCGAGGTTTTTCATTTTGTTGGAAACATAAACAACAAAAAAGCACAGAACTCAAACATTTGCTCTCCCTTCATTTCCTCCTCTTTCTCACCAACCAAACAGAGTGCATGAACTGGTTTGGTTTTTTATACTTTCGAAAAAGAAAAACACAACAGAGAAAATAAACACACAAAAAATTGCCCTCTCTTATTTTCCTTGGTTTTCTCAGCAACCAAACAAGTGTAGTGAAAAAAAAAAAAACCATTTATCATGGGCATGTGAACAACAGAAAACATTATAAGAAAGCAACAAAAAACCGATAAACTCGGAATCTGTTTTACCTTATTTTCCTCTGCTCGAACAGATAGGTTAATGAAAAAGGAAAAAGAAATCAAATTTTCCGAGAAAATATTTGTACGCTGACCCAAAAAAACAAGGAGCTCGCAAAGAACAAACCCAAATCAATTTTCCCAATAAAAATAGTGTACAATGACCCAAAAAAACAACTAGTACCATGAAAAGAACAAACCTTTTTATAACGAGAAAGTGGCATGAACCCTTGAAAATTTCAACAAAAAGAAGAACATTTATGATACAAATTTACAGTAAACACGACATTAGATACAACAACAACAAATGAACAGATTGAAAGTACTTGAAAAGTGATGTTTCTTCAGTTGAGCTTCCTAGGTGTAGAGTCTGTAGCCTGTCTAGCAATAGTACGGTTTTTTTATATAGGCTCGGTGGTGGTTGTCTTAGGTTCGGATATCCGAGCCTATTCGAGGCTCGGTAACGTCCGTCCAACGATTATAGGTTACAGTTGTCGACCGTCAGTTAAAAGAAACGGGCATTTTGGACGCGTAATAAGCCAATTTCGCCAACTTAATTACATATTTGGCATTATGTATGGAATGTTTTGTTGGCATGTGAAGGTTATGGTAATATGATGGGGTTATCGTACCAACTTAGATGTGTACTAAATGGGGATTTGTGCCAGCTTGCATGAAGTTACTAAATTGCCCTCCTATTGATTTTTTATTTAAATTTACCAAGTCACTCTTAAAAGTTAGTAAAATAATTTAGATTATAGTAATTTATAGTTTTTTTTATGTTTTACCTTTTCAAATCTTAGTCGGATATAGCACAGCATTTGATTCTTCTCATTCTCATCTTTGGAATCATTAGACCAAAGAGGTTTATTGGATGCACATGATAGGATATTATTTTAATATTCCAATAATGATAATTTCATTAACCATTTAGGTAATGGCTTTTATAGCTTTACAATTTTAGTAATTGGTGATTTTATACACCAATTGGTAACCTGAAAACCCAAGGGAATTGGATAATCGCAGTGTTACATTATTAATAATACATGAGTAATGTTATAAATACCACATACGTTAAGAGAATATATATATAGAACAATGATTAGATGGTTTATTATTTATGGAGAAGAATGTTGAGTGCTAAAAAATAAATACAAAGGATGCAGTTGTAAATAATCTGGAAATATAAAATTAATAATTAAAGGATTAAGAAAAAATTAGGTGCTACGCCTCTTAACGAGAAAATAAGAGATGATAGATTTAGGTGTATGGGTATATGCAACCCCTGTGTATAGTTGCACTCATGTGAAGATAAAGAACCTAAAATAACATAGAATGAAGTGATAAAAAGTAATTTTAAAAAATTAAATTTAGTTGTAGATGTAGCTTATGATAGAAAAGAGTTGAAATTTTTTTCATTTGACTCACCCGTTTATACGGGATAAATGCAAGGCTGATGGTGATGAATTTATGAATGTTATTGCGCCAATTTTATCTTTAAATGGAAGTAAATGAATTATATAAATTGGGCTTCAAAATTTAAGGTTAACGTAATAACTTCTCGTTGTCTGTGATTTATTATTATTATTATCATTATTATTATTATTTGTCTTACATGTGATTTATCATAAATTAAACAATCTAATTCCGACAAAGTTGTTCGTACACAATAACAGCTTGGCAAATTTGTACGTTAAAAACCGTTATCATAATATGTCATATGAAAGCGACAAATTGTTGACCCTAAACGTGTTATTTCCTCTAAAGTAACTCAACCTACTTCGAAAAAAAAATAGATTGACAATTACATTAATATTTTCTTTTATTTGTCTCAAATTTTGTTTATATTATTTCAATCCCGACAAAAATGACGACAAAATAGAAATTAACAATTTGCAAAATTTTGTAACGAGTTGATATCCACCCAACAAATGTCTGAAATTTAAGACAAAATAATGTGTGTGTGTGTGTGTATTTATTGTCATGGTGGGTTAGGGGCCTTACAACGGCTTTAAATCACCATAACTTGTTTATGAGAATTGAGAGAAGAGCCTCTACTTGAGGATGACAGTGGGATAGTTTGAAGCATGGAATGTCATCCCCATTTCCGTTCCCATTTAGCATAACTATCCCCATTCTCGTCCCAAAACCATTTATTAAATGGGGCGGGGTGAGGTGGGGCGATTATGGGTTTTATAAAGTACTTTTGCAATTATATTACAAATGTAACGAAAGTAAATAATGAAATTAATTTTCAACTATGATAATTATTCTTTTTCTTTTATGCGGATAAAACACAAGATTCAACTTCTCAATTAGAAGTTTAAACTTAATATTATGAACATCAAAATAATACATAGAAGTTCTTAAATAAGAATAAGAAAAGAAAAAAAAAAAAATGATTGAAATAGAATAAACTGTGATTTGTTTAATACATACCTCATATTATTGAATATAAAACATGGTTTGAGTACAAAAATTGTAATTTAAACAAAATATATGTATAATGTACTGACGCAATGTTTATGAGATGAATAATATAGAAGTAATATAAATAGAGTATTGATACTTACATCGAATACTTGCAGTGAATTGCTAAATCATTTTTCATATAAATAACATTGACAAATACATATCCGTGCTATATATACTCATAAACCCATACTTTTACTGAGGCTTGAACTCCTAACTTTTCTTTAAAAATAGGGGTCCAGTAATGTTGGGCCATTAGCCCATTAGTGAACATGTGTACATTATACAATACAATGTGTATTTTTCTTTGTTTGCTTCTATAAGTAATAATTTTAACTTACAAAATAAGTATAAATCACTTTTAAACTACAAAAATATTGTATTAAGCTTTAAGTAAGTATTGTTAAGTTTTACAAGTGACAAATTTAAAATTTAAATCTATTAAATCTCAAAAACAGAAAATATCATTATATATTATTCTTAGGAGCCCGAAGGCATTCCGATTGGGGCAGATTCGTCGCCCGACCCTAACTTAGATGGGCCTAATAGCGCCTTTTACCGGGCCACATTGGCCCATTTAATAGTCTCAAACTAGGCCTATAGAAAATCCTTATCTCTAATCCAATGTGTTTCAAAACATCATGCCACATTTTTTCGTTTCCCGCCCACTATTTTCCCTGTTTTTCAATCGATTTTACTTGAAAAAACACACACAAATTATTCTCTCTCTCTCTCTCTCTCTCTCTCTCTCTACATATATATATATACACACACACAAACACACACATTATATATATATAATCATTATAGAAGTAAATTCCAAACAAGTTCAAAGGAGTTTCATCAGTTGTGTATTGAACCAGAAATGGGGATTCAGATGGAATCGACGACTGACGAGTTCATGACCACCGATTCCGAGTCAACTCCCTCGAGATCCACAACTCCGAGGTTATTCATCAAAGAAATGGTCATGAGGAACTTCAAATCATACGCCGGTGAACAGCGCGTTGGCCCTTTCCACAAGGTTAGGGTTTCTCTTCAAATTAAACCCTAGCCTTCTTTCCAACCATCTCTCCTTCTCTCTCTCTACACACACACTTAAATTCAGTTCTATATTCAAAATTTAAAATTCAATTAGGTGTTTTGGTATAATGTTGGTGACAGAGCTTTTCGGCTGTGGTTGGTCCCAACGGAAGTGGGAAGAGCAATGTGATTGATGCTATGCTATTTGTATTTGGAAAGAGAGCCAAACAGGTATTTCGCTTCACTAATTTTCCCCAAAATATCATCTTTCATGACACTGATTGGTTGGTTACTCGGAAAATATGTAGGGTTGGAATGAAAAGAAGAATTTTTTGAGTTCTCTCTTTCTTTTCTCCTTTCTATATTAAACTTCGTCTCAAGAAAAAAGGGTGAGAAAAAAAAAAAAAAGCAGCTGTGACCATAGGGCTTAGCTGAATTACTTGTTCAATTTTCAGTAACACAAAGACTAAAATTATTGTTTACAAATTGGACAAGATGAGATCAATTTTTCCTATATGGTTAACCCACAGTCTAAGTTGGAACAACATTTTATATTATGTGCAGATGCGTCTTAATAAAGTTTCGGAGCTTATCCATAATTCCACCAATCACCAGAATCTGGACACTGCTGGTGTCTCTGTTCACTTTCAGGAGATAGTTGATACGGTAATTGTTACAATTTCTCTTTTTTAGTGTTTGTTTGGAATTTAAGAATTTTAATCTTTGTGGATTTCTAGATGTTAATTCTTCAATTCATTGTAGGATGATGGGATGTATGAAGCCGTTCCGGGAAGTGATTTTGTTATAACCCGTGTTGCATTTAGAGATAATTCCTCCAAGTACTACATAAACGACCGTGCGAGTAATTTTACTGAGGTTACCAAGAAATTGAAGGGAAAAGGAGTGGACTTGGACAATAACCGTTTTTTGATTCTTCAGGTTCTACATTCTATGCTAATTGATTGTAACTTGACTAATTGTGTAAAAATTCTGCCATTAATGCTTTTGAGATGTACTTGTTGGTTGTTGTTATCAGGGTGAGGTTGAGCAGATATCACTGATGAAGCCAAAGGCTCAAGGACCCCACGATGAAGGTTTCCTTGAATATCTTGAGGATATAATTGGAACTATTAAATATGTTGAAAAGATTGACGAATCCCATAAAGAGTGAGTTTAATGTCTCATTTTCAGTGTTGCATGTCTTAGTTTCTGTACTAGCATTTCCCGTCCAAATATGCATTACCTGTATTTTTTGAGTGTTCGTGGATGCACATTTCCCGCCCAATCTCGCATCACCTGTATTCTTTTGGTTGAATGCACAGTGCAAACATAATTCTTGTTGTCTAGTTAAGAAAATGTCAGATTAGGATGCAAGTGCGTAGCGCATATGGAAAATCTCAGGCAGCAGTCTGGTTAGTGGCAGCAATGTGCTGCTAGTTTGTGTATATATATTAACAGTTCTAACCCAATAAGATGCATGCCATCCTTTTGACACTCACAAATGTTAAATTTTGTTGCTAATAGGCTAGAAGCCCTTAATGAGAGAAGGTCTGGGGTGGTGCAGATGGTTAAGCTAGCAGAGAAAGAAAGAGAGAGCTTGGAGGCAAGTTGAATTTGCTAAACAGTGGTAAATTTTCCTTCAACTTTTTCTTCAATCAATTAATCAATATATATCATTTTATCAGGGTGTGAAGAATGAAGCAGAAGCCTACATGCTGAAGGAGTTGTCATTGCTGAAATGGCAAGAAAAAGCCACAGAACTGGCTTCTGAAGATACTAGTTCCCGAATGTTGGAAACACAGGCAAATGTGTCCAGCTTGGAAGAAAATCTAAAAAGTGAAAGGTAGTTTTAGTCACAACAATGGTTGTACAAGTATGTAGAAGTTTTATAATGAAAATTTTGGCGTAACATGTCAGGGAGAAGATTCGAGAAAATAACAAAACATTGAAGGAACTTGAGGCTTTGCATATGAAGTATATGAGGAAACAAGAGGTGTGTGTACATCTGTCTAATGTTTTTTCATTCAAGTGTTTGTAGCGATTCATGCTTTCTAATGTCGGATTATCTAGTCGGGAAAGTTTCTATTGGTTAAAACTCTACTGGCATGCCATACCAATTCCTTGACATCCTTGTCATACATATGATATTGCTATTGCCTTGAAATTAGCTCAATGATGATGTGGACATATATTTTGTTTGGAATATATAGGATCTCGAAAGTGGTCTCAGACGTTGTAAGGATGAGTTCAAAGAGTTTGAAAGGCAGGATGTTAAACACCGGGAAGATTCAAAGCACATGAAACAGAAGATTAAGAAACTCGAGGAGAAACTTGAAAAGGTACAGGGTCCAGATGATCTTCACCTGAATTCAATACATGCGTTCGTGTCTTACATCTGGATTCTTTTTAGGATTCGTCGAAGATAAATGATATCACAAAAGAGTGTGAAAAGTCAACTAATTTGATTCCACAGCTGGAGGAAAAGATTCCTAAATTGCAAAAACTTTTGTTAGATGAGGAGAAAGTCTTGGAAGAAATTAAGGAGAACTCTAAAGGTGAGCTCTTCTCTTTTGACGAAAACATACACAAATATTAAGATTATTGTGTTTTGTTTTCTTGTTAGTTTTATACTTTTTTTCTGGTTAGGTTTTATTTTATTTTATTTTATTTGTTTAATTTTATTATATTTCTAATTTATAATATAACTTTCCAGAAATTGGAGGGGCTTATATGTGATGTACTTTATCTAGGCTATAGGGCTCTTAGGTTAATTGTTCTCAATTGTCGATCTTGTGCTTGGGTCTACATTCTATATTACTTTCTCATTGAACACCGAAATACAGGCAGTTCAAATATTTTGCTTGCCATGACTATATAATCTCTACGGGATCTACTTACCTGTTTAGGAGACATGCTGATTAGTTGAAGTGTGGAACTAACACAGATTTATGATCATGTTGAGTTTTATTAATTTAGGGGCTGTGGGCAGCTTTGATAGGTGGAGGAGAGATGGTAAACATATAATTTGTCTACATTGTACTGCCTTTCCATGCTCATAGTCTCTCAGTTAAATATGCTGCTTCCATTTATTATTTATAGTTTTGTGAAGCATAGATGCCTAATGCCTTTTAATCGATTGTATATGTGAGAGACTATTGGTAAACAGAAGTTTCCCAGTGGCTACAAATATTGTTGTTATAACTGCAGTGAAGTGGGAAAGGGTTCCAGTGTTTATATATCTTCCATGTAATTTTGTAAATACTTGGTTTTTTAAGACTTTTCATAATTTTTATTAGGTGTCTTTGCTTTGGCAATTGACAGTTCAACATTATGCCTCTTGTAGCGTGGTGGTGGATTAGGGTAGCCACTATTATTTCTTTTGCACCTTGATATCATGTCTTCTGAGTTGTATGAATATGCCTTTTTAAGCTTGGCCGTGGCAACTTAATTTTTTGGTGTTACTCACTTTCCAATTGGTTGACAAACAGTTGAAACCGAGACATTCCGGGCTAAGCTTACAAAAGTTCGTACTGAATTAGAACCTTGGGAAAAGCAATTGATAGAGCACAAGGGAAAACTTGAAGTTGCTTGTACTGAAAGCAAACTTTTGAATGAGAAGGTGAGGATGACATTTCAATTGGAACATGCTCTTTGGTTATTGTTTATTACTACAACTTTTGTTTTCAGGATCCTGTAGATTTAGGTGGTCTATGTTTCTATCTTTTCCTACTGAATGGAAACAATTGCATTAAGGTCTGCTTCTTGCCATGGAAATTGTTTGAAGTCTGGAAAATTGCTTGATATATTTCTAACTTGAAAGTTGCTCCATATTAGCTATTTTGCTTTTGTGTTGTTCACAGTTTTCCATCATTCAGTGGGAACTTTTCTCATTATATATTGGATAGAAGTTGTTTCCAACTACTTTATTTTGAAATGAAAAGAAGCATGTTGGTCGTGTTCACTAATCTTATTACTATCAGTCTATCATACAATACGGTGACATTTCATAGTATTATCCCGTGGGACAAATGAGGCCATGGTAAGGGGAGCAAACTCCAACATGTACAAGTGAAGATCAATTTTATGATTTACTACTAAAGTTTTAATTATAGACTTATAGTAGAGTTGAGCAGATTTTCCTTTTTCTAGGTACTACAGTAGAGCAAATTGAGTCCTTTGAAATGAACATAAAATGTGGCCCTAAAACTACATAATTTATTTGTTTTTCTTGCTATTGCGCAAAAATGTAATTACTTATAAGAAAGTGGGATCTCATCTCCTATTGTAAAATTTAATGACATGAATGAAAATCTTGAAGATCTGCATTTGGACAATAATTTTGAATTGCTTCCTCTAATCTGATCATGACCCTGAAGGAACCAATCACTTGTTGACTTTGTTAGGGATTGTTAGGGACCAGATTATGGCCAAAGGTGGCAGATGAACCGTAGTCAATATGGGCTATTAACATCTAGCTGCTTAAGTCATTTGTGCCATTTTTATATCTCAAGAACTTTGAGGTTACAGAAATCCATCAAGACGTCAACAAAAAAGATATTTAAGCAAAATAAGATGCATGTAGATGACATTTATATGTATCTGATTTCCCATTTTCAGAGAAATCAAAATAGTTATAGTTGACGTCTTGATGGATTTCTGTAACCGCAAAGTTCTTGAGATATAAAAATGGCACAAATGACTTAAGCAGCTAGATGTTAATAGCCCATATTGACTACGGTTCATCTGCCACCTTTGGCCATAATCTGGTCCCTAACAAAGTCAACAAGTGATTGGTTCCTTCAGGGTCATGATCAGATTAGAGGAAGCAATTCAAAATTATTGTCCAAATGCAGATCTTCAAGATTTTCATTCATGTCATTAAATTTTACAATAGGAGATGAGATCCCACTTTCTTATAAGTAATTACATTTTTGCGCAATAGCAAGAAAAACAAATAAATTATGTAGTTTTAGGGCCACATTTTATGTTCATTTCAAAGGACTCAATTTGCTCTACTGTAGTACCTAGAAAAAGGAAAATCTGCTCAACTCTACTATAAGTCTATAATTAAAACTTTAGTAGTAAATCATAAAATTGATCTTCACTTGTACATGTTGGAGTTTGCTCCCCTTACCATGGCCTCATTTGTCCCACAGGATAATACTATGAAATGTCACCGTATTGTATGATAGACTGATAGTAATAAGATTAGTGAACACGACCAACATGCTTCTTTTGATTTCAAAATAAAGTAGTTGGAAACAACTTCTATCCAATATATAATGAGAAAATTTCCCACTGAATGATGGAATACTGTGAACAACACAAAAGCAAAATAGCTAATATGGAGCAACTTTCAAGTTGGAAGTATATCAAGCAATTTTCCAGACTTCAAACAATTTCCATGGCAAGAAGCAGACCTTAATATATATATATATTATTGCATGGAATCCGACTCCAGAATGGTTTCGCCACTAGCATATGTGTTTCTCCACGTATATAATCTCATGTTACTTTCATTACCAATTAAGAAATTGAATGTTCGGATTGAAATGTTCAATGAATTTTATTATAATTTAATAGAAACTGGCCTATTTCACAAGAACTACTGGTTTGTGCCTTAATTTTGTCCAAGTTCGTCACTGTATTTGCTAATCCTGGTCTTCTGCAGAAGCTGCATGTCTTATTGTATGAGTTTCAGAACTTGATTGTAATAAGTTTGTATAAGCAATTTCTCAAGTTCAACTCTTACCTATATTGACTAGTTTAACACCTCTTGAGCTTCATTGCTCGTCAATCTTGATCAACACACTAAAATATTGCTCTACTTGACTGATGTGATTTTCTAGGACTATTCCTAGTCGACCAACCCCAAGGTTCCTTGAGTCTAGTCTTTCAATTTGGTGGGAACTGCTTCTTTGTCAGATATTTTGGTAGAGAAGGATGTTTAAAAGTTGTCTGATTTGATGTTGGCTGTGCAGCATGAAGCTGGGTGTGCTGCTTATGAGGATGCTCAAAAGCAGATGAATGACATACAAGAAAAGATTAAAACAAAGACTGCAGGTATCACAAATATTCAGAGTAATCTAGAGAAAAACAAGCGTGAAGCATTGGAGGCTCGTAGAACTGAACAAGTATGTTGTTTGATATTAATAATCTCTTTGTCCCTTTTTCGTTTCCATTTTTTGATATGGTGAGATTGTTTGAATTCTTTGCAGGAATGCCTTAAAGAACAAGAAGCTTTGATTCCTGTTGAACAAACTGCAAGACAAAAGGTCACAGAGCTTTTGTCTGTTATGGATTCTGAGAAGAGCCAGGGATCCGTCTTGAAAGCGATATTACAAGCTAAAGACTCAAACCACATACAGGGAATTTATGGTCGAATGGGCGATCTGGGTGCTATTGATGGTGAGACTTTTCTGTACTGTAGCTGCTATTGATGTTTTGGACCGTATACATCATGAAAGTCTGAAATTAAGTGAAGAGAAGTGAATTTGTAAATTGCTCTAGGAGAAAGAAGTTTTAATACCATTTTCTTCATTTTCTTTTTCCTGTTCTGGGAACCAAATGGTTCATTAGTCTTTCCTGTTACTATAATGTACTCCCTTTTAGTTGTCCGTATCTGTCAAAGGAAACGATTGATGTGATTATAGTATTGAAAATAACTTATATGTGCTGTTTGTTCAATATTTTTTCTTCTTAATTTTTACTCATTTAGGCCCTCAAATGCATTTGAATTAGAAACAAAAGCATTGTAACTATTTATCTGTTTCTGGCATTTGTTATTGGACTGCTAGTTATTCTCTATCTTTGCTCAAAGTATATTCATTTGCTAAATATATTCTGATTTTTTTTAATCATTGGATCACATGATAATTATTTTTCAATAAATAGTTCTTTTAGCTTTACCATTCATCTTTACCTTTTGGTTTGACTGGATTTTTCTGTGCAGCAAAATATGACGTTGCCATATCAACAGCATGTCCTGGTCTTGATTATATTGTGGTGGAAACAACTGGTGCAGCACAAGCATGTGTGGAGTTACTTCGTAACAAAAAACTTGGTGTTGCAACGTTTATGATTTTGGTAGAAATCTTATATTCAATTTAGTGGTTTTCCATGGTTATTCTTTATTCAGTGTTGATTTATTGTGCTAGTAATTAAGTTGATGCCATGCTCTGAATGAGCTGGATGACTTGATTGGTAAATGGTAAATTTAACAGAAATTTGTCAGCACTTGCCAACAAAACTGTATAACAGCAAAGAGCCTCTTCTATTTGTTGATTCTGAGTGGCGGGAGTTCATTATGTTTGTTATTCATTTTTGTTAGCCCATGGTTGTTAAAGCGCGCCTAGGCTCCAAAAAAGTCCCAGGCTTGTCGAGGCTGCTCAGCTAAAGCGCCTCAACCTTGTACAGGCCAGGTTCCTCAGTCAGGCTTGCGCTTTTTAGTAGGTTCCAGGCTTAAAAAAGCACGCCTTTTTATTTTTCAATGATTTATTCATATCATTTAGTTTGTATCAAATGACTTCTAAATGAGGATGTTATATATCATATCATGATCATATTTTTCAATGTTATGAAATATTTGACAGAATCCATAAGTTTATGATTCACTACTTACATTAATGGCATTTAGTGCTTGATTAGGGATATTTCTGATACTATAGGTTTAACGTTTTGCATAATTATACTTTTATTTGTTTCAGATTTAAAATCACTTTTTATTTGGTTAATGCATGTATTTGAAATGATTTATAAGCAATAATTTACCTGATCCTCTTAGTTGATATATCAAATTTCCCATTCTTTTAAGAATTTTTTTTTTATTATTTGTGTCGCATATTTTGAATTGTTCTTATTGTACATTTGTTTTATTGAATTCATATGCAAAAAGAAAAGATATATGGATGTTAATTTAGCTTATGTATTATGAATTGATATGTTGAGATTATTCCTTATTTTGATGTAGTTTAATTTTTCTTTATATAGATCCCACACGCACCTTACTTTGATCAGGCTTGGGCCTTATGTTGCGACTTGCGCTTAGGCTCCGTAAGACCTTTGGCGCGTTAGTGCGCCTTGAGCCTTTAACAACTATGACTTAACCTAACCAAAATAAAATTCGTACTAGTGTTCCTATATTGGTTCATAAAATTTAGGTATAGTTGAAATTTTATGAATTTTATAAGAAGAATTCAATCTTTCACTTTTATGAGTTGAATTCCTCTGTGAAGGCAGGTTCTCTCATTTGATGATTCTGATTGTTTACTATGTAGAATCATTGATTGTATGTCAACTCCAAATGTATGTGACTTCTTTTTTGCTAATTGCTCTTGCAGGAGAAGCAAGTTGACCATTTACCTAGATTGAAGGAGAGAGTAAGCACTCCCGAGGGAGTTCCACGCCTATTTGATTTGATTAAAGTTCAAGATGAGAGAATGAAACTTGCTTTCTTTGCAGCAATGGGGAATACAGTTGTAGCGGAAAATATTGATCAGGTAGATTTCCCAACCCATCCACCCAACCCCCCCCCCCCCCCCCCCCCCCCCAAATGGGGAGATTAAATCAATAGATAAAACAATAGAGTACGAGTGTATCAGTGAGGGCATACTCTCACATTACAACAGATATATGTTTCATGTGATTTATTCTTTCATGAAGCAAAAATGGCCAAAAAGGAAAAAAAGAAAGAAAAGAAAATGAAAATTAGGGGCATATTTGGTTTGGTAAACATTGGCAATAGAATGCTAAGGCAAATATTGATTAACAGGTTTCTTTTGAATTTTTAGGCTACACGTATTGCATATGGTGGAAGCAGAGATTTTCGGCGCGTAGTAACACTTGATGGTGCTCTTTTTGAAAAATCTGGTACTATGAGTGGTGGAGGAAATAAGCCACGAGGTGGCAAGATGGGATCATCAATCCGAGTGACAAGTGTTTCTGCAGAAGCTGTTGCAACTGCTGAGAAAGAGCTTTCTGCAATGGTTGATAAATTAGGTAGCATACGTCAAAGAATTGCTGATGCAGTGAGGCATTACCATGCCTCAGAAAAACTAGTATCAAATTTGGAGATGGAATTAGCCAAAAGCCAGAAAGAGGTAGATAGTCTAGTACAACTCCTCCATCCTTTTCGGTTTGATAATATTTATTGTGATTTTTATGGGTCAAAAATTTTGTATCTCAACAGATTGACAGTTTGAATTCACAATATGTTTATCTTGGAAAACAACTTGATGCCCTGAAGGCTGCATCTGAACCGGGGAAGGATGAGCTTAGTAGGCTGGAGGAACTCAGAAAAACTATTTGTGCAGAAGAAAAAGAGATAGAGAGGCTTGCACAAGGGTCAAAAGAGCTGAAGGAGAAGGTGTGTAAGGGGATATCTTTTGACTTCTTTTTTTTTTTTTTAAAAAAAATAAAAATAAAAATAAAAATCCAATCGACATGTAGTTTAATGTTAAATATTTTGCTGGTTACTCTTTTGAGCGTTATTATATACTAAACAAATGTATTCTATGCAAAATGGTATGCCTTTTAGTTTGGGAGAACGATATCTGCACTCCACTTTTATACTCAATACTTTACTTGCTTTTCTTAAAAAAAAAATGACATAATTGTCCTTAAAAAACAAGTCCATACTTCACAATTATCTCAGAAGTACTCACACACTCCCTCCTTAGAGGGGTAACTGTGACATTTTTTTTAAAGAAAATTAAGTGGAATGCAAGAGTTTAAAAATGAAGTAGGAATGCCACATTCCTATGGTTTGTGATAGAAATTGCTTATAGTGTCCATGTTTTTATATTTAGGCTTTGGAACTACAGAGCAAAATAGAGAATGCAGGTGGTGAAAAATTGAAAAAACAGAAGTCGAAAGTTAACAAGATTCAGTCTGTAAGTATTTGCTTGACTAGCATATGGCAGATCCTATAAATGAATATTTCCACCAAATTCATATTACCCACTTTTCAGGATATTGATCAAAGCAGTACAGAGATCAACCGCCACAAAGTTCAAATAGAAACAGGTCAGAAAACGATAAAGAAATTAACAAAGGGGATTGAGGATTCGAAGAAGGAGAAAGATCGAGTTATTGCTGAGAAGGAGAAGCTACTTTCCACCTTCAAAGAGATAGAACAGAAGGCTTTTACGGTTCAAGAGAATTATAAAAAAACACAGGAGGTATTATATTTAGTTGTTTTAATTTGTGGAACTCAATATGGTGAATTTTGTCAATGGAGTTGCATTTTTAATTGGTGGATGCTCTCTTCATCATCATCATCTTCTTTTTCTTCTCTAGCTAATCGATCAACACAAGGATGTGCTGGATAAAGCAAAAAATGACTATGAAGAGCTGAAGAAAACTGTGGATGCATTAAGGGCATCTGAGGTATACCAATAAGTATTTTCTGTTTTGCACCTGTTCTGTTCAATCTATTTTGTAATACCATATCAGTGATTTATTGGGGATGGTATAGGTTGATGCCGACTACAAGTTACAAGATCTGAAAAAGGTCTGCAAGGAGCTAGAAATGAAGGGAAAAGGATACAAGAAAAGACTTGATGATATGCATGTTGCTCTTTCAAAGCATATGGAACAGTATGCATTGCTCATAATATTTTATTGTCAGGGAAAAATGTAACATTGAAGCATGTCTAATTTTATTCTTTTTTTTTTTTTTTTGCCCCTTCTTTTGTATGGTTGCTTGCAGAATTCGAAAAGACTTAGTGGACCCTGAAAAGCTTCAAGCAACATTGGCAGATGAAACTCTTACTGGGGCTTGCGACCTAAAAAGGGCCCTTGAAATGGTGGCACTGCTGGAAGCACAACTGAAAGAGATGAATCCGAACCTTGATTCAATCTCAGAGTATGCAGTTCTTTGCTTATTTATGTAGGAAAAGCTCAATATATTTTGCAATTTTTCTGTACTAAGTGTATCCATTATAATAGATACCAGAAGAAAGTGTCCTTGTACAATGAACGAGTGGAGGATCTTAACTCAGTAACCCAACAGCGTGATGATATAAAGAAGCAATACGATGAGTGGAGAAAGAAAAGGCAAGTCTATCCTTTGTTGTTTGTAATTATAGTTTCATTTCTTATATACAATGTCTCTCTCGCGTAAATGAACAGTTATTACTTATACACCAAATTGGTTGTAATTTTCAGGTTAGACGAGTTTATGGCAGGATTCAACACAATATCGTTGAAGTTGAAGGAAATGTATCAGGTTTGTGAATTGATTTTATTTAAATTCCCCTTTCTCAGCTCTTGGTTTCGAGAATATGTGATTCGGTGTGTGTGTATGTGCGTGTGTGTATTTTGTGTGCCCAACATGCTGGATGCATGACTTGTTTGTTCATCTAAACTTACAAGGTTGCTGAGATTTTGGCCGGTGGTAGTAATGTTCTGTTACTACTTTGGTGCTATTGCCTTTTAATTCCTATGTTTCAATTCCTCCCTCCCTCAGTGATGTTGCCATTTGTAAGGAAGCCATGTATCAGTGCGTTCATTCGCAATTGATGCTAGTTGTCGTTGACCTTTCTCATAATAGATTCTATTTGTGTCAATTGTTTACTTTTCCTTTATTTTTTACTTTTTTAATCATTGATCATAGTTATTTTCAATCTTGCTACAGATGATCACACTTGGAGGTGATGCAGAACTTGAGCTAGTAGATTCTCTGGATCCTTTTTCTGAAGGTGTTGTTTTCAGTGTCAGACCGCCTAAGAAGAGCTGGAAGAACATTGCAAACTTATCAGGTGGTGAAAAGGTATGATTGGAGAAGAGTCAATAAACCCAATTTATTTTGCCTCTAAATATATATTATAATTCAAACTTAGCATTGTCTATTAATCTGAATAATATAATTTTTTGTTGGCTTTTCATAATGTTGCTGATTTATTTATTGGTTCAGACTCTCAGCTCTTTAGCTCTTGTTTTTGCGCTTCACCACTACAAACCTACCCCACTCTATGTAATGGATGAGATTGATGCTGCTTTGGGTATGTTCTAAGGATATAGGTCCTAGGATTTTTTTTGTTCTCTTTTTTGTTTTCCTTGTTGAATTTTATTCTTTAAATTTATGATTCCTTCTTTTGCCACCCTTCACTTGTATAACTCATGTGGCAGATTTCAAGAATGTTTCAATTGTGGGACATTATGTGAAAGACCGTACAAAGGATGCACAGTTTATAATCATAAGGTAGATTGGATACATATATTACAATCCTCTGGATCATCACTGAATTTATTTTTCTTTTACTCAAGCTGTTCTTTATGTTTTTTACATGAAACCTGCAGCCTTAGAAACAACATGTTCGAGTTGGCAGATCGGCTTGTCGGAATTTACAAAACTGATAATTGCACTAAGAGCATTACCATCAACCCTGGAAGTTTTGTGGTTTGTGAAAAAGCTGCATAGGAAGTCTGCAACTTTAGAGGTGGATTGAAGTTCAGTCATGTAACAATTATTTTTATTTCTTTTTTGGTAGTCTGTGAATTCCAAAGATACGTGGAGCTTGTGAATATCAATTGTATATTTATTTTGATACTGTTATGAATATAATTGTTGTCTATAGCATGATTATGATCAAGTATTACTGCATACTTTGATTGTTCAGTTGCTAAGATTATTATTGTAAGAGGTTTATTTGTTACATGGCCTTTGCAGTTTCTTGCCCTTTTAGAGTACATAAACTTGTCCTATTTCATGGATCTTTCTAACAATCTGTTGCAGGTTCAGGTATGTAAATTTTCTTTTTATTGTTAAAAGTACTGCTAAATGAAATCAAATGGTTGATTGCTTTTTACTGTCCTTAATATATATATACACATACACGTATATCTATTTCCTATGGCTGCGTTTGATTGGTTTTGTTTTTTTTTACGATATTTTGTGCGCTAATAGATGAATTCTAGTATTGGAATTTGAACCTCTTTGAATTAGATAATATATATATATATATAGTGTGGTATTGGGTATTAGTATAAACGGGCTCTGGTTAGCATTGAGAACATTCCAAATGTGGCCCCAAACTGTGATTTAGGGTTGGTTTGTCGGTGGCTCGGATTTAGATTGTTGGGCCATACCTCAAGTTTGTACGGGCTACCGTAAGGCCCGCAATACTAGTTGGGCTTGTTCGTTGTACCTCAGGCCTGAGCCTAATTCGACCTCCTAATTATTAATCCTAGGTTATCCAATGGATGTTGGGTCCTTTTCTCAAGCAACTTGTAGAGGCCCAAAATTAGCTATGAATCCTGGCAAATTAGGGGAGAGGGATTCGAACATGGGCGCACCCAGAGCCTATTTATAATAGTATCACACTAGGTCACTGGTAACTGCTCAACGAACATTGCCATTGGGGATATGGTAGTATTGGCGTTGAATTTTAAATTAATAAAATGACAAAATTATCCCTTCTAAAGTGAAAGGTGTAAGTTGAGTATCTATGAAGGTCAATTATGTCATTTTCATTTATAGACATGTGGGCTCAGTTTAATTCTTGTTGATCGTTGTGTGGTGTTATAGTTGAGTTATTAATCTAACAAAATGTTCAATGTTTTTGCTTGATAGAGATAAATGCTTAGGAAATGGAAATGGAAATGGAGATGGAGACATTATAAATATGGGCTTTTCCATTCTGAAAGATTTCTGTCTGCATCACTATTTATCCTTTTCACGACTCATGCATGTTAAAATTATACAACCCTAGACTTGCATCACTTTTCTCTATTCATCGTTTTTAATATTGGTTAGGTAGAATCGCACTAGAAATGAGGTTTATCAATTATATCATTGAAGCCATCGGAGACTTAATCATATGGTTGGCAAATGTTGACACAATATGTTGGCCCAACTCAAACCTAACACAAAATTGGCAAAGTTTGAGTTGATTTTATTGGCGTTTTGTGGCAGCCTGATTAAATCCATTTAATCATATCGTATTCATAATTTTGGATCAACTTGTTTAATCAAATTTGATCTGTGTAATTAATAAAAGATAGGCCAACTTGAACAGCCTATTTTAACTTTTATAATAAGTTTTAATTCAATATATATATATATATATATATATATATATATAATTTGCCTATAATAACAATTTTTTTATATAAAAAATATAAATAAAATTTAAACAAGTTATGTTGTATATAAGTTATTTGGATTGTGTTATGTTACGTTTTTAATAAATCGTCTCATTCTTATCAAATGTAAACCACATCAGTACGTGGCTCCATGGATTGGATCCCTTTATTTTTTGAGTTCGTCTCCAATATTGGATATTTGAAAAAATAAAGGGAAAGAAAAAATATAGACGAACTCAAATAATTTATATGAGTGGAGACGACTCAAACGAAAAAAAAAAAAAAATTTAAAGTAGTGGAGTATCAATACAAATATATTTTTAAATTTTTTACAAAATAAAAAGTACATTTTAAAGATTTTTATAAAATTTATAATTAAAAAAAATTAGTGGGGGTGGATAGGACTGTGCCTCCCACCCCCACAGGTGTCGCTCTTACGCTCTCGCTCAAAATCTTACTACTTATGACTTAATTATGCCATTCTAACGCTTCTATTCTCAAATTCGCTCTTACTCCCGCTTTACGTGACTTAGGTGAAAATATTATTTTATAATAATTATTAAAGGTAAACAGAAAAAGAAAAAGGCTATCAGGATATTGGATGTGTGGAAAAATAAAAAGAAAAGGAAAAGAATAGACGAACACAAAGAATTATATGAGTGAAGACAACTCTAAAAAAACATATATTTAATGTAGTGGAGTATCATTAAAAATTAAGTAGGGATATTTTTAAATATTTTACAAAAAAATAAGAACATTTTAAAGATTTTTATAAAATTTATAAATAAAAAAAATCAGTGAGGGTGGATAGGACTGTGCCTGTACCCCACCCCAACCAGCCTTATGTTTCTTCTAAAAATATGGAGGAGAAGAACATAATTTGTATAAATCATGTTTTATTCATTACCCCTTTTAAAAGTGAGAGTAAAATGAGTGATATAATCGTACAGAGAGTTTGTGATTATCCACTTTATTTTTTCTAACAAGTGAATTTTCGTATTATTATTAACACTCAACAAACTAAATGAAACAAATGTTTTTTTTTTTTTTTTTAAACAAGACTCACAAGACAAAGACTTTCTATTATTAATTTATTATTATCTTTATTTTTCCTCCAAAAATTGTTAACATTGTCCTCTCTCATATATTTTCCAAAATTTTGGACCAACTTGTTTAATCAAATTTGATCTGTGTAATTAATAAAAGAGAGGCCAACTTGAACGGCCTATTTTAACTTTTATAATAGGTTTTAATTCAACATATATATATATATATATATATATTTAATTTGCCTATAATAACAATTTTTTTATATAAAAAATATAAATAAAATTTTAAACAAGTTATGTTATATATAAGTTATTTGGATTGGATTATGTCTTGTTACGTTTTTAATAAATTGTCTCATTCTTATCAAATGTAAACCACATCAACATGTGGCTCTATGGGTCCGTTTATTTTTACATCGGGTCTTTTAGAGAGTCTCTTTTTTACTTCACTGAAATAAAGAAAAAGTCCGAAAGAGAATTCAGTACTCCTTGGTCGTGAATTTTTTTTTTACGTGCTCCGTAACTTTTCCCCAACAATCAAGACAATTGGCTGAATCCCGCGAAACCATGGTCTAAGGGATAAGCTACATAAGCAATAATCTTCCGTTTCTTCCAAGCAGAATCCGATGCACCCGCCTTATTGGGTGATGATTTTTAAAAAAATGAACTTCATTGGTAATAAGATTACCAAGATTTCGTGATCCACTGCCTGTATCTTCTATGAGGATAAAAAAAGATATGTGTACTACTAATAAAGGTGAAAGGAGAGAAATGACAATTTGATTCACAAGTAGTATTTGTTACTTTTGGGATGGGGTTTCCACTTGTCATTAACAATTTTGGCATTTTGTCAATTATGTGTCTCAAATGAATGTGACAGGTACAGTGTTATGGTCATGTTCTAATTAGACGGCACTATAAGAATCCCAAGCTTTTGAAGCACCTCTTTTGGACATGGTGGGTTGATTGTATTTAACTGCAAATAGTCAAAATTGGATGACACTTCATAAAAATAAATCGATTTATATCCAATTTACATCTTCATTATTTTTACTTTAATTACATATTAATGAGGTGGTAAGATGAATTCTCTCCAATTTTTTGAGAGTGACTAGCAAGCACTCAGTACATTACTTGAATTTTTTTTTTTTAATTTATTCTTTTCCCATTAGAATATTATTACACATTCCACTTTTAGTGATAATGAGTATTTATTGTCTTTTGGCGTAGTGCAAAAGATAAAGTGGTTCACTTGGTACGGAGACGCTGTCGGATTTAGTATTATATTACAAAAGGATAAGTGGGGCAGCTGCCCCCACTGAGCTAGCTTTGTTTTTTTTCTTTTAATTTTATATGAAAATATTTTTAAATTTGTATAATTGTCCCATGTATACTCTCTCTCTCTCTCTCTCTCTCTATATATATATATATATATATATATATATAAAAAATCAAATGACGGTATTACAAAAAAAATAAAATAAAATAAGCAATATAATCTTTTCAAAAATTATGATATTTTTTTTCCACTTTCTCAATTCCGACTTTTTTAAAAAATATAAGATATTCTTTCACACTTTTGACTTTATCACAAACAAATGCATTTTTTTCATCACATTTTCAGTCTTCAACATTTTTCTTTGGGCGAGTCATCAACATTTCAAAAATTCACAAAATCCGAACAAATATTGCAATGCGGATACAGGTAATCTGATTTTTTTATTTTTATTTTTTTTTTAATCATCTAAATTTACGATTATTATGTCATGAATATTTTGAAAACTTGACTGCGCAATTGAATGGAAGACTAATGGATGAATGATATGATGGTTGTGTATATTAGGAGAGACATATTTAGTATTATTGACAATGATATTATTATTCAACGTTTTCGAAATATGAAAAATCGTAGAGGGCAATTGTGAATGTACTTAATAATGTACTTAATAAAAATATTATGAATCAATATTTTAATTTTTACATATATCATTTTGATTCAAATTATATATATATATATATTATTGTTATTAAAGATTGCCCAATTCCTGGCTACTGTCAATAGACAGTGAAAATACTTAGTGAAATACTTCTATTCTTATTTAATGATACTTAATAAGATGGAATGTTCGAGATTCAAGAATGAATTTATCCATTCATCAAGAATTAAGGTCCACGACTTAGTCGGAATGGATTTGATTCAGAGTTCAAGCTCTTACTAATGCATAATCCCCTAAAATATATAAAAGGTCAAAATAGTGGCGAGGGAAAAAAGAGAGCTTTCTTTGAACTATCCCATGAAACATTCCAACCTGTTCTTTAGACCTTTTATGAAAATTTGGGCATAATCCCCTAAAATATACAAAAGCCCTCACTTTCGTAGTATTTGCACGGACTCTCTCCAAATTTTTCAAAAGCCCTCACTCTCGTACTATCTCCATCCCAAAAATAGTGTCATGTTTAACCGTTTAGGGGATCGTGTCAGTTCAATTTGTGAGAGTCATGATTCCCTAAAAATGAAACTTTTTATGGGACGGAGGGAGTAGTACTTTGACCTTTTTTAAAAATTTGGGCTTTTGGAAATGGAGAGCCAAAATACCCTATAACTTCTCTTCCTTGATTGATGTGGAACGTGACGTGAAGCCGCCATCATCTTTTTTATTGTTTCAAACAAAAGGTCCTCTAATATTTAATTGTCAACAAGTCATTAATTGTTCTATAAGAGATTGGCATCACATAAAAGATAAAGAATTTAAGTTCCTTAAAAGTAATTTTATTTGTATGGACTGTGTCCAAATTTTCCACAAGCAAATTTATTATCCAATTGACGAAGTAAATTATACTTAAGTTAAGGTCCTTCAGCAAGCCAACCAATTCAGGGCATGTAATAGTTTCATGGACAAAAACTCTCCTTAAGTGTTAGGCTTTGTATTGAAAGTAATATTTGATTAGAACATGACACAGGTGCTAAGATTGGTGGGACCACTCTTTGTCGGGACCTTATTGATAATAGGGATCAAAATTCACGTGTGGCCGCAGCAGAATGTTGAAACAACCATAAATTTTAGAATTTATATATAAGATCACATACTGCTCTTATCTTCATCCAACACAGCATCTCTCTTTTAGGTCTTCTCTCACACACACATACACACACTCTCTCTATATAAAATGGAGGATGAGCCACATGATGAGTACTCTCTAACCATACCATTCGTACTTGCCAATGGTGGGAATCAACACCAGCTTAATGAGGAGGAGGCTGAGAGAGGAGAGTCAGTTAGTGAGCATCAAAGTGCTGGCACCACCTCTTTTTCCAAGACCTGTTTCAATGGACTCAATGTTATGTCAGGTTCTTCTTCTTCTTTTATGTCATTTCTTTAGTAAAAGGTATGTGGTTGCTTCATTGTTTATATAAATTAGCTGGAGTCACTAGGCTTTATCTTACAAGACCATTTCTACATATAATTGTACTACTTATGTGGAGCATGTTGTGACAAATGCCACGCTTAACATACAAAGATTTACATGGTTTGACGTAAAGCGTACGTACATAATATAAAGTTATGGAGAGAGATTTCAATATGCAAATAAGATTACAAGTTTAAACCCCCAAATCTTCTCTCACTTTCTAAAGTGTGGCTTTCAGATTTCTCTTATACCACATTCCAAACCCTGAAACATGGATGGTGAAGTTGTGGCCAGAACTTTGTTTCAGCCCGATCGCAATGACTCAAAAAATGGAGTTTGTGTATTTTTTTACATGTTTCTCTTTTGGATTGTGGACCAAGGTAGTAGATTCTGTTGTAGCCCAGCATATAAGATCGTGTAGGATTTGTGGTGTGTTACGAGAGAACACTGAAAATTGCAATTTAGAGAGTGAGAGAGAGGGCGGTTGGGGATTGAAATTTGTAATCTCTTGATTTTTACATAGTGAAATCTTTCGCCAAATATTCACCCCGAACAATATAAATATTTGTATCTTGTGTGGTGCATGTTTTCTGTCCAACAGGGACAGCCATAATTACTGTGAAGATGACTGAAGAAATTAACCTTAGTGCTCAATATGGTTTCTGCCAAAAGAAATTATGATTTTGAATGGTGGAATTTTCATTATATGACAGCCATAATAAACAAAAGTTATTGCATTAATGTGTTTCATTCCAAGATTGTTCCCTTGACAGTCCTATTTATCTCACATCAAGGTTTTTTTACATAAATAAACACAGATATATACAAAATAGTAAACTTATTTTACATTCAGATTTAATTCGGATGCTACATGCATGCAGCTTATAAATAACTTTATCCCCTGCCTTGAAGACTAAAGGAAGTTGATTTCTAGGCTTGACTCTCTCAGGATTTAAAAGCTGAGACTGGAATTTCAGATCTGTATACGCTCAGTAGAAAGAAACATAAAAAATAAACATTCGAGCTGAGAAACTCATTTTATCTTGCCATAGAATTTGATGTTTTTCAACCTCCTTTGGCTTCTCAGGAGTTGGAATACTGTCAGTTCCATATGCGCTATCATCAGGAGGGTGGCTGAGCTTGATACTTCTATTTGTCGTTGCCATTGCAGCCTTCTACACAGGTTTACTGATTAAAAGATGCATGGATATGGATCCAACTATCAGAACCTATCCTGACATTGGCGACCAAGCATTTGGGAGCACAGGCAGATTGTTGGTATCAATTTTTATGAACACGGAGCTCTACTTAGTCGCGACAGGTTTCTTGATTCTAGAAGGGGATAATTTAGATAATTTGTTACCCCATGTGGGAATTAAAATTGGTGGGCTAAAAATAAGTGGAAAACAAAGCTTCATGGTGATTGTTGGCCTTATCACAATGCCTACTGTTTGGTTAGACAACATGAGCATTCTTTCTTATGTCTCTGCCACTGGAGTTCTAGCTTCCCTTGTCATCCTTGGCTCGATTTTGTGGGTTGGTGCATTTGATGGCGTTGGATTCGACCAAAAGGGAATGATTCTAAATTGGAATGGACTTCCGATTGCTGTCAGCTTATATGCCTTTTGTTATTGTGCTCATCCAGTTTTCCCTACTCTTTACACTTCTATGAAGAAAAAGCATCAATTCTCAAAGGTAAAGCAAGGTCTTTGAATTCACTCTAAGGTGGTTTTAACTGATTTAAGTTACTGAATTTTACTCTGCTTTTTCACATTGTAGGTTTTGCTCATATGCTTTGTCATTTGCACCATCAGTTATGCATCAATGGCGATTTTGGGGTATTTAATGTTCGGATCAGACCTTCAATCACAGATAACATTGAATCTCCCAACAGACAAAGTTAGTTCAAGAGTGGCAATATGTACAACCTTGGTAACTCCCATATGCAAGTATGCGTTGACGGTTAAACCGATTGTGCATGCTATTGAAAACCGGCTTCATCGTTACTGCAACAAGAAACCCTTTAGCCTCATCCTGATCAGGACCATCTTGGTAATGAGCACCATTGTTGTAGCCGTGACTGTCCCTTTTTTCGGATACCTCATGTCACTTGTTGGAGCTTTTCTAAGTGTTACCGCTTCATTTTTGCTGCCATGCTTCTGCTACTTGAAAATTTCCGGTGCTTATCAGAGGCTTGGATTTGAATTGCTGATCATAATTGTCATTGTGCTTATGGGTATATCAACTGTATTGATTGGTACCTACACATCTTTGGTAGAAATAATATCACATTTGTAACCAGTAAGTGTTGAGACTTCTTTTAGTTTAGTTGAGAGTTTTTCTTATTTAATCTACTGAAATGTTTGTAAGTAGTGAATGCTTGTGTATTCCAAGATGGCAGTGTTTTCACTATTACCTGTTTAATTAATTTGAAAAGTGAGAGATTAGAAATTGAAGGTTTGTGCCTAAACCTATTACTCTATTAGTAAAGTTCAGTGATTATATAAGGAATTTTTTTCTCCAGAATCACTCTATTCCTTTAGCACCATCTGGTCATTAGTAATTCTATATGAAACTTAGCATCATACTCTGTCACAAACCAAGCCAAACCATGCAAAATTCGAAATCTTAAAAGTATATTAATCTAATTCGAGTGTCTCCAAATTTCTAAAAACAAACTTGTTATCCAATTAATCACATAAGAAATCTAGATATAGGTAAGAAGATAGTTTTAGCAAGGCAATGACCCTTTCTTTTGTAATGTTTCCAAATTTTTACTATTTTCCAATTTCTAGAATTTTTTTTTTATTTTTCGAGGGTATTTTCGTATTTTCTCATTTTGCATGTCGGACATCGTGGAGTGTGCCGGGTGTGTCTGAGAGTTGATTGAGGTATTTCGTTGAGTTCAGGACTCTTTAAAATGTAAGGGTTACTATTTCGGCATTTTCAGTTTTTCGGACTGGACGGTCTCGAGTGAGACCCGCTACCGGAACTGTTGTGTACAAGAATTTTATTTTTGGGTCCATTGCATTTAACACATTATTATTTGATGTATTTTATGTGATTATGTGCTTGTATATGTATTGTAGTGGGCTTAGTGTATGTACAATTGTATATAATTATACAAAATAATATTATTTTTACTGAGGGACTCACCAACACCTTTTTCGTTACAAATGGTCTTATGGCCATTAGTTGGCCATCAATTTCTCTCCCTTCCCTTATTCTCTCGGCAGACCTCTCGTCTGTTTTTATTTTTCTTTTCCATTTCAAAGCTTTCAGCTTTGATCTTTCTTTCAACATTTGATATTTTTGGGTGCCATTTGTAGCAAAATGGAGAGCTCGTCGAGATCTTCGCATTGATTAGAGCAATTTCACTTTTGGTGCTCCTTGGAATTTCGAAATTAGGGTTTGGATTTGGGCAAATTGGGGGTTTTTGTTTCATTTTGAGATAGGAGTTTCTAATCCACAATTTTCATTGACTTTTGTGAGTTTTCTTATAAAAGTTGTTTACTAAATTATGAGTATTGTTTGTGGTTATGGACATTTTATGTATTATGAACATGACAAGGTGTATATTATGTTGAAAATGATAGAAATTACTTGTATTGGTTATTGATTTTGATTATATGCACTTGAATGCTTGAAAGTCAAGTACTATGTTGTCAAAATTGTTAATTGAGAGTTTATGTAATATTACGAATTATATATATATATATATATATATATATATATATATATATATATCTATTTATATATCTATATACGCATATATATATATATATATGTTAAATGTAAAATTTGTTGCCGTGGGCCCCACAGGGCTTTAGTCATTATAATGACCTTTTATGGTCAGACCATCTACTATCTCTCACTCTCGCGTAGTATCTCTCTCCCTCTGTTTTCTTTTTCTTTGAGCTTCAATTTTGCTCTTTCATTTTCTGGCTAATCGGTCGGGTTTCCGGTCTTGGTTCCTTGACGGAAAATGTTCCTTTCGTCGTTTTCTCTCACATAGTTAGAGGATTTAATTTTCTGAGGGGTGGTGATTATTTTGCGAATTTTTGAAATATTATGAGCTAAGGCTTTGGAGGGGGTTTTGGGCCACTTAGAGTCGGATTCCGGAGCTGAGCCTTTGGAACAGTAAAATCTCCTCATCGACGGCTATGTTCCTACCAAACAGTTTTCTGTTCCGCAGCCGTTGACCGGCATTGACTTTTGTTGACCGGCATTGACCGCGTTGACCGGCGTTGACTTTCTCGGCCGGGGATGTATTTTGGCTACTTTTGAGGTAGGGGTGCTCTAATTCACAATTTCTTAGGTTCTATGTGAATTTTCCTTCTTAAATTGACTATAAGCATGTTTAATTTCAATTATTTTGACTATGTGATTGTGGTTGATTATATGTAAAGTGGTGGATGTATGCTATGTGATAAATGAGTTTATAAATTTAGGTACATCCTTGTAGTGAAGAAGCATGCTTAGAAATGACAAGTTGTTTAGTTTATGTATTTAAATTGCCATGGAAATTTGATGTCATAATTATAGAAATAAATGTTTAAAATATTCTTTTACAAGTTATGATTGTGATATTGGTAAAATGTATGGAATATAGTTGTTGAATTTGGCATTTGGAATCATGAAGCATTTATGCATCCATTGGGAAAGAAAAAGGGGAAAAGTGTATATTTTTTTTTAAACCAATGAAACTGTTTTGGGGAAAAGTTTTTGAAAAGTGTTTGTAAAAACCCGGACTCCTTGGAGGCGCCTAGTGGTTCGTGGTGTTAGTGTGGTCTAGAGAGGGGATTAGGGAGAGACCCTAGTGTGGTTTAGCTAACCAGGCCGGATGCGACGCCTTGGAGGTGCCTTGTGGTCGTGGATGGTTAGCCAATCCCCCTTTCGTGACGCTTTGGAGGTGCCTTGGGTCGGATTACACTAATGGTTTGGAAGTTGAAACGGTATGGTTTCAGAAACGGGGAGTGACATTGCATGGCATGGCACATCATTGGCATACGTGGTGCATTTGGTAATTGGTTGAGATATGTATGTTTGTTGATGATACAGTGGTTATACTTGACTCCCGAGATATGATCCCGTTCTCTTACTTTCTATTCTCTATGTGGATTCACGGGGTCATAAGAGGTGTGTCTTAGACACTTCCTATTGAGCGTTTAGCTCACCCCATCATTTTAACATTTTTCAGGTCACGGGAAGGAAGTGGCGGATGACGTTCCTCCACAGGTTTTGATAGGTTAGTAGACTATTTGATATATTTTGTAGCTATGATTTCATTTTATTATTATTATTAATATTTATAAACCCTGACACGACACGTATATTATGTATTGATATAGGCTAGGACGGTAACGTTTTTTTAGTTGATCTTGGGTTCAGGTAAGGACTCGGCTAGCGATTCGGACCCTCGGGTTCGGGTCGTTACAAATTTGGTATCAGAGCAATGGTTCGAAAACCAGTAGGACGACGAGTAGAGGCCTACCTAGGGTTGTGTGGAAGGTGGATTGCACTGCTTATGTGCTTATGTGTTAAAGTGTTTGTTACCGGAGAAGTATGTTTACTTGCTTAATTGCTTATGCGTTTACGGTTTTAGAAGACATGCTTATTTACTAAGTGTTTACATGCTTAAATGTTTAATTGCTAAAATGTGTGTTATATGGCCATGACGATGAAATGTATAAATAATTGAAAACATATTAATTATGATACGATGATAAGTGTGATTTAGGTGGTAACGGCAAGTGGTAGGTACGGTGTGTGTGTAATTTTATTTTAAATGATAATGTGGCAAGTAGTGAGCATGGTAGGTGCAAGCATGTCTCGTATGGTATTGTGATGGTTATTAGGCATGGTTATGTAAGTAATTTAAAAAAAAAAAAAAAAAATGTAAGACGGGGTGTTTAAAAAAAAAAAAAAAAAAATTATGATGGGATATGATTGTATCATGGTATGGGGTACGGTTATTATATATGTGTGTGCACTTGTGTATATACAGTTGGGTACGGGGTGGTTGCTAGTAAGGTAGAGTACTTGTTGTAGCATTAATGGTCGTGTAGGTTTTGACCTGAGTAGAAGAGGAGCTCGATTGCTCCAGGGTTGTTTGAGTGCCGGTTCTTATCGAACGAATGGCGTAGGTCTTTAGCTCATGGATCGAGCTATTCAGTGCATGGTTGCTCTAGTTTTCTCGTTGTTTTTAGGGCGTAGTGCTTGGGGCACAACTTTTGAACGATTGCGTATGGCGTAATGCAATGTCCAGGGTGAGACGTGTGGGTTTCATGTGTTAGTGCATGAGTTTTGCGACCGGAAAGGTCAGGTGTAGTGAGTGAGGGTTTATTGGGAGAAAGGTGTTACCTTAGGGGGTTAGGGTTTGTGACTTGGGTCACGGTGTGGTGCGGCGGTTCTTTTTTAACCAGTTTGAGGTGGGTGTGACAGAGGTTGCTTGAGTCACGGGTGTAGTTTATGGGTTGTAGATGTGTATTTTGAGTATTCTGGTACGGTCTAAGGAAGCGTGTTAGTTCTGGTAGTTGTGGGGATTTGTTGGACTCTGTAATACCTCGAAATTTTAAAGAATGTATTTAAATTAATTTTGTGTTAGGATTAATTAATTTTATTTATTTGTGCATACTACATTATTATATTAGGTTCATTTAATTGTGCATGTAAAGTAATTGTGGATGTTAAAATAGTAAATTTGTTCATATAAATATGCATGTATTATTATTAATAATTTTATTTGTTGGTTATGCTTATATTAATCATTATTAGTTAAGTAAAGTATTATATTTGTGTTATATAGTATTATGATGATATAATGTATTATTTTGTAATAATAATAATTATATTAGTTTAATAATAATAATAATAATAATAATATTAATAATAATATAATAATAATAATTATAAAAGTTTTATTAATAATAATATTAGTAATAATAATATTAGTATTAAATCAAGGTAATGATGAAAAATTAAATACTAGGATAGAATTTCATTTACTATGGTAGAATGGTGGATCAAATATCTTGATTAAAGATAACATTGTCTTAAAGCCATATAGGTAGGAGTATGAGAAATGGGTGAGAAGTTATTATAAATAAGATATTTGTAATATTTATATTATATATTTTGTATATAAATTAACTAGCTTGCCTTAGAAGAAAATAAAGGGAGTTAGAAGCAAAGTATAAATTCTAGAGAGCTATTTTATAAGAGTGAAAGGAAAAGAGAAAGAGAAAGAAGCTTGGACCGGTGTAGGCAATTTTACCCGACTACGCGCAGACCGGCGGATTTATTTTAAATCCAAAAAGGCAAGTTATTATCTACTTTTCCCCTTTGAATTAATAAATTAATTGTTTAGCTTATTTTTATGCATAGAGCCAATGTTTGGAGGTTAATAAATTATTAATTTTATTTTATTAAATTAATGGAATTTTAATTATATAGGATGGTATATATTTATTTAATGTCCTATGAAATTAATAACGGCTA